CTCGAAAACTGTTTCGAGAAACTGAGCTAAACGGAATAACTGCGCAAACTGCTTGAAAAACTGTGTGTGATTGTGTCCGGAGCCACCAGAACACGGGTTTTTATACTTTTTCTTTGGGGTAGATCCCTTTGGAAAATCTTAGGTTTTTGGAGCGGGGATCGAATAGGAATTAGTCTTGCGAGAAAATTTTTAATGTGGGGGAGGATGGCGTCATTTTTAGCTAATAGGATTGGGTTTAGATGATTAGGTTACTTGAAATGAGATAGGAAGAAAGAGGCCCTAACGAATAAGGAATAGCGTCGTTTCGGGTCCATATATGATGAGGGTAGGTTTTTGAGGTGGCGTAACCCGGTTGGTGTTAATTAGTATAGGTGGGGTGCATCTCAGTGTCTTAAGATCTGGGTGGGCGTAGTCTTTAGACCAGTGCTCGGAATTAGTCTGAACATTTCAGCCGATTTCCGTGGTATACGCCTCCTTTCCTCTCCTTACCGCGCACGCCGCAGCCGCTAGGGCCAGCGCCGCCGAGCGTTAGGAGCGACACTATCTGATTATGAATGGGTTCTTTTCCCTATTTATTAAAATTTTAAAAAATGTATTAAAATTTATTAAAAATAAATTTTTTATTTTTAAATTTATTAAGTGGAAATATTTCAATAGATTTCCACGTCACCCATGAGATACTAATGCTGACGCGTTTTTTTTTTAAGTAGTTTCCCCCGTAGACCTATTCCACTAAAGATAAAAATAAATTCTTAATTTAAAAAAAAATATATATAAAAGAGATTTTCTTAATTAGATTTTCTTAGCCTTTTATGAGAATGAACAATTGATGCAATAATGTAGATAGAAACCACTTTTTGAAAAACGTGTCAGTATTAGTACCTCATGGGTGACGTAGAAATCTATTGAAATATTTCCACTTAATAAATTTAAAAAAAATTTATTTTTAATAAATTTTAATAAATTTTTTAAATTTTAATAAATAGGGAGAAGAACCTACTCATAGAACCTAATCAGATAGTGCCGCTCCTAACGCTCGGCGGCGTTGGCCCTAGCGGCTGCGGCGCGCGCGGTAAGGAGAGGAAAGGAGGCGTATACCACGGAAATCAGCTGAAATGTTCAGACTAATTCCGAGCACTGCTTTAAATAATAAAAAAAAATAATAATTATGTTGTTCAAGTATAATTTTTTATTTCACATAATAAGATATTATATTGCATTGCAAACATTTGATACACACATAACAAATAACTTACATTTTATAATATTATAATTATGCATTTATACATTTTAACATAAGTTATATTTACATCTTAACATAAATATAATCTATTTTTTTTTAATGAAAGATTTTTTTAGAAATATTGAATGTAAAACTTAATTAAACATTTTTTGATAGTATTTAATGTAAAATCTGTTTTATAATTATTTTTCTATGATTTTATAAAAAAACAAAATTTACAGTTTTATTCCCAATCAAAATAATATTTTGCGAAAAAATGGGGCATGTAAAAGTTTCATCAATACTCATTTTTTATTTTTATTTTATATCCATTGCATGTGCAATAATTTAAGTAAGACTTAAGTAGTGAGCAAATTAATCAATCATCGTCAAACTTTCTCGAGAATACATATAATTAGTCAATTTATTTACTGCTGAAGTTTTACTACTTATGTTTTTTATGTGCTATGCCCTTATCGCATGAATGTATTGCAAGAACTATAATATTATAAGTCACGTAACGTAAAGAAAAAAGGAGAACGATATAAATAATTAAAAAATTTAACAAATAAGAGTAACGGAGTATAGAGTAGGAATCGGAAAAAGAACCGAAAAAACCATAAAAACCGAAAATAATTTTACTAATTCGGTTCCAATATTATAAACTTTACGAAATTTAGGTTTAGTTCCAATTTCGGTTTGATCAAAACAAACGGTTACGGAACGGTTATCGGTTTCCCATCCAATTCAAGTCCCTGCGTGAAACATTTCACGATAATAACAAACTTGTTAGATCAGTCTACATTCGCTCGTGCTATGTGTAATGCATACATTACGCTGTAACACGACAATTATGATTTTAATTATCAAATTTTTTGCAACATGTTAGTCGCATTTGCTGGATGGCAATAAATGTGTACTAAATAAAACGATTTTTTGAAATGTATAAATTCTGATATATAAATATTACTTTTACAAATACTCACAACAATTGAAACAAATCCTTGTAAAATCTTCATCATAAATTCTGAATACACAATAAATTCTTCATGCCTAGATCTTTACCAATTCATACTGTAGCTTTTTTATCATATATCGCAAGTTCAACGCTCTTATTTTCTGTTTGTTTTCAAGAAATGGAGATTCCGATATCAACCAATCGAAACTGCTATTGAATGGACTCATCAGTCAGGCAACATCTAACAAATTTGAGGGCTTTACCGAGTCCTTCTGGGGGCCTAGGAATAATATCGAGAATCAAACGAGACAACATTATCTCGCGCGAAATCGTTATATTACCGAGCAAGGCTTAAGATTATCTTATCCCAGTGTATACGGTACCCAAAGTATCAGTAAGTAGTTTTTACAAATGCTACCTTGCTTTAAGAATGACTTGATGAATTTTGTTTATCAATCTAATATCTCAATACAAAGGCTTATTTTTCCCCTTTCTAAGGAGTAAAAACATATTATAATTGCACATTACAAATTGTGCATGCAAAAAAATCAATGTTACAATCGACTAATGCCAATTCTTTTTTCGATAGAGACTACCAATAAACCTACGTTTCAACCGAACTTATTTGGAAATGTTCTCGATACCAAAGCCAGCGGTGGACCTCATGGCCGAACGGACTGGGCAGCGAAATACTTAAAATGACCATTATAGAAAAATTCATTCCTCTTTTTACATTGATCATGGTGGCTCTTTGTTAAGGCGAATATTAACTGTGATAGAACGATGTACGTTGTCGTTCCATTGTAACAGAGATGCAAATTGCAAGAATGCATTTTTTCTATGATTTTACAAAAGAAAAATCACGCTTAATTGTTTAATCAGATAGAACACAATATTTCGAGATGGAGAGTAAGTGTAAGATTGTCGCAGTGTTATCGCATTTTTGCATTTTGATACAAGTTGAGAAGTTTGTTATATAGATTGCTGTGGTAGTTAATTATATAAAAAAGTTTTTTATTTTTTTGAGAAATAAATAATTTGGCGCGCGCGCGCACACACACTGAGAGGGAGGG